TATGCCAACTAAAAATAAGAAGGCTTTAAATAAAATAGAAATATTGTAAATACACTCTAATGTAAAAGGAAAAATATAAGAGCTCTTCCAAGTAAGAAGTCTTCCTTAAAATAAATATTTAATATATATCCATTAAATATTATTCAAGATTATATGGTAAATAATTTTATTTACAAAAAAATTTATTATCAAAAGAGTTAACTGATCCAAATCCTATTTTAAAGATTTCAACATTTAGTAATAACATGTTTCAAGCTATTGTAATAAAAAGCTAAACAATAAATCATAGTTTCTTCCCATTTATATGATGAACAGTTACTAATATATTTATTTGAAAAAAAAATTAGAAAACTAAATATTTATTAAGTAAAAAATAATATATGCATATCTTGATATAGCTGAATAAAAATATTTTAAAATAAATTTAATTAAATGAACTTTTTTAATAAGACATTGTATATGGTTTATAAAACAAATGTTTACTATTAATTTTGTGAGATAAAAACAAATTTATATCACTGAAAGAATAGTGTTATTTTTAATTTAATTCACAGTCTAAATTAAAGAATATTTTATTTTTAAAACTTTACTGTCAGTAATGGTGAAGAAAATATAAGTAAAAATATTTTATATATAATCTAATACTCTTAAATTAGTGGATAATGTATAAATTCATAAAAAATCTAAATCAGAAAATCTAAACTTGATTAATTCATATGTTTGTATTGCTAGTTATTTATTTTTCTAAAGTAAAGCATTAAACATAAATATTATTATAATATAGAATTTAAGACATTTATAAATTACTTTAGAGAGGTTCAGTTTAAAATTTTATTATAAATTTTTTAAATAAAATCAGACTAACAAAAATTTGTATTAAACTTTTATTATATAACAGTTAGTTGGTAAATGTTGATAGGATATATATATTCACTTTCATTAAGTATGTTATAAATTTTGGATGTAGGATGAATATGATCCCAAGAAATATACTTTTCTGGATTTAAATAAAATGAAGTTAATTGTAAACATTCTGTCATTAAAGTATATTGACTTGGTCCTATAAAGTTGTAACATCCAATATTAAGATTTGTGAAGCTTGGTACAATTTTTCATAATTAAAATTTATCAATAAATTCTTTCACTTTAATATAAATTTAATATATGATAGAGGATTTTGAACAATATTAACTAGTATAGTGTAATGTTCTGCATAGAAAATGTTAAATGCTGGTAAATTTAATCTAAGATAAATGTAAATTAAGCTTGTAGTTAAACTATATTGCTATTTTGTTATGTTGGTTAATGGTGTTTGATAAAAAAGAGTGTATCACAACCTAATGGAAATAACTATGCAATCACAATTTTGCATACTCCTTTTTGATACAAAACTTATAACATAAATAAAGAGGTCGTAAAATAATTTAAAGGTATGAATTGTATTTATTCAAATTTAAGTATGATAAAGTTGCATCAAAATGTTAATAACCTTTAAGATTATGTATTGACTTGGCAAAAGAAAACCAGGTTCATATTAATTATTAGTTATATCATTAGATCCATATGTTATGTAAAGTATAAACTTATTTATAATGTTTAGTGTTGCATTTAGACCAATTTGAAATATGAATATATATTTATCTTCCAGAAAAGTTTTCACTTGTAGATAGATATATCATAGATAATTTTGGCTTGGAAAGATTCTCTTGACAAAAAATTAAAAATTAAAAAAATTATCTTTTAACAAATGTATTTTCAGTAGTATAGAACAATCCACATCCAACACTTTTATAATTTACGCCTTGCTATATATTTTTTGTGGGTGACAAAAATGGTTGAATTAATTAAAGATTCAAATATGAAGTTGCAAATGAACAAATTTAAACACTTTATTCACATCAAAAACGAGATTTTTATTTGAAAATCTCCTTGTTACTCCACTAAGAAATTCTCTTTCATAGGGAGGAAAATTGGTCTTTGCATAAGTTTTTAAAATGTAATTATTATTTCCATAATCTACCAATGAGTCTCCAAAGATAAATATTGTAAAAATTTCACTCTTGCAATAACTAACAATAATAACACAGGAAAATAATTAGCCAAAAAGTTTCCATCTCCCTCTCAGATTTAGTGTAGCAAGTAAGCTATAATAATTATTCTAACAAAATAATATAAGAATCTTATAATAAATATACTAACCACTGCCGCCACCAGTGATTGCTGTGTCATCTTAAACGACCGGTTGAGAATGCAGCCAATCAATACCCCAACCTGGCTTCTACATCTAAAGCAAGCACACAGGTATAGAAATTTTGTAAACGTTATTGGGGACAGGATGCTTCTAATGGAAATTCCTCCTGTGATGGAAAGTTGCCGTCAGGAAAGGAAAAGCTTGCTCCTCTGTAGTAGCAGATTGTGGAGCTCAGGAAGAAATTTCTAGACACTCTTCTCATTGTTGAGGTGGGATACAAAGTTTCAATTTTTTGGAGAGAATGTGGCAGAATGTTGGAACGCTGGCAGTAAGAAAGCTGTGGCTATGATAAGCAAATTCTAAGAAAATTGGCTGCTTTCTCATTCCGGTTGCATGTATGGCAAGGCTAATAATAATATCAGAATCTAATATTGTCAGGCAAGAATCTTAGGGTTTATAAGTTTTTGAATGGGAAAGAGAAAGAAGGACGAGGGCGCTGCCGCCGCCAAGGGCCAGGCGATCATCCCCAGCTTCTTCAAGCGAGGTGAGACCGATGCATCGCGGGCTCCCACACTTGTGTGGCCATCGCCGTATCATCTCAGGCGATCAGCCGAGAATGCGGCCAGCGCGAGTAAGAAACGGTGCTTGAATTTAGATGTAGACGCCGGGTCGGGCGATGGGAAGGATGCCGATTGCGGAGTATCGGGGGAAGCGATTAAAGACAGGCGTAGAAAGTTTGTAGATGTTCTTCTTGGAGAGGGGGACAGGAATGGCGGTGGTGGAAATTCCTCCTTTTATGGAAAGCCGCCGTCAGGGAAGGAGAAGCTTACTCCTCTGGAGCAGCAGATTGTGGAGCTCAAGAAGAAATTCCCAGACATCCTTCTCATGGTCGAGGTGGGATACAAGTTTCGATTTTTCGGAGAGGATGCGGAGAAAGCAGCCAATGTTTTGGGAATCGTTGCTTACTACAGCCACAACTTTCTCACTGCCAGCGTTCCAACGTTCCGGCTGCACGTACATGTGAGAAGGCTTGTGGAAGCTGGCTACAAAGTTGGCGTTGTCAAGCAGACCGAGACAGCGGCTATCAAAGCTCACGGGACGAACAAGGCTGGCCCGTTCTCGAGAGATCTCTCGGCGCTATATACCAAGGCCACGCTCGAGGCCGGGGAGTTTCTTGGGGGAGAAGAGAGCGGGGAAAGGGATGGACCTATTCGTCTTAGCAGCTATATCATGTGTGTTGTGGAGGAGGCAATCACCGAGCACAAGGCCAACGCTGGAAAGGACGAAGTGAGGGGAAGTTTTGATGCTAGATTTGGGGTGGTGGCCGTGGAAACCTCGACCGGAGACGTGATGTATGGTCACTTTATGGACACTGTCACCAGGACGGAACTGGAATCACGGTTGCTTGCGTGTGCTCCCGCAGAACTTCTTTTATCTGCGTCCTTGTCCGCTTCTACAAAGAAGGTAAGCTTTTTTTTTTCTCTGATCGGGTTGTATATGAATGATGGTGATTTTTCTATAGTTGTTGATGGACTATGCAGGCGCAGCGGATGTTCGAGTCGAGAAGACGCCTGAGAACTCGTTTGAAAATGGCGGTACCGTTGCTGCTCTTGCGGACTTCTACGGGAGCTTGGCGTCTTCTAAGAAAGGCTGTCTGGACGAGAAGGTTGATGGAGGGCTAGAGGTAATTTTCTAGTTGTCTTGATTACTCTATCGGATGAGAATTGAAGTTTGCAGGCGTTGATGACGATGCCAGAAATCGTGGTTGCTGCGTTTGCGCATATATTTGCTTACCTGAAGCAGTTTAATCTGGAAAATGTATTGCGCTTAGGAGCTCTTTTCCGACCATTTGCCGGGCAGCAAGAGATGACGCTCTCGCCCAATACCATCCGCCAGCTTGAGGTAATCACTGAATGCGATGTGTACTTGCCAGTAACAATTTTTTTCTTTCTAGATTCTACATAACCAAACTGATGGTACTGAAAACGGATGTTTATTCTGGCTTATGAACCACACAAAAACTGCTTTTGGCGCGAGGCTGCTTAAGTATTGGGTAAGGAGTTTGGTCTCAGTCACAATCTTGGATTTTTCGTTTTTTCATTCATGTCTATTTTCAGGTGACCCATCCGTTAAGAGACCGCATGCTTATTTCTCAACGTTTAGACGCCGTTGCGGAAATTGCCGAATCCATTGGAGATAAAGGCAGAGGTACAACAGTTGCAACTTTAGCTTCAACGTGGTTGCTGCTGGGAAAATTGCCTGATCTTGAGCGTGGTATCACAAGAATTTATCACAAAACAGCAACAACGTATGAGGTACCTTTCCTTTTCTGTAATCCTGTTGTTATTCTTTCTGACCGTAACGTTTGCTGCAGTTCATTAACGTGATTAATGCGGTTATGAAAGCAGCGTCCCAGTTTCAACGGGTTCGCGACGCCAGAGCAGGGCCGCACAATACCTGAACCGAGATAA